GCTATACTGCGATAACCAGGCAGCAATTAATATTTCCCATAATCCAGTCCAGCAYGACCGAACTAAGCACATTGAAGTAGATAGACATTTTATCAGAGAAAGGGTAAATTCTAGAGAAGTTTGTCTTCCATACATTTCTTCTGATCTGCAGCTTGCTGAAGTCCTCACAAAAGCCGTTGCAAAGAATAAGCTGGAGCATGATCTACGCAAGTTGGGAATGTGTGACATCTACTCCTAACTTGAGGGGGAGTGTTGAATGGGCCGATTTGTGTTTATTTTATTTTCTTTTAAATTAATTAAGTTGTTGGGCCTTGGGCCCATTACTAAGGGCATCTTTGTAATATCTCATATTTAAGTTAAATATAAATAGAATGAGGGGTTGGCGGCTAGGGTTATGATACACAATCCTAGTTGAACTTCTCCTTTCTTCCCTTTTCTCTTCCCTATTGCTGAAATCTACAACTTTCTCCTCTTCCTTCCACAAGAAGCTTGACCGAATCAGCAGATAGTGGTTCCTACTGGAACCTAACTCTGAGGAGGAAGATGAGGTTGAGAGCAGCATGGGCGATGAAGCTGGTATCGATGTTGATGGTGTGGATGATGTGGGCACTGAGGAGCCCCAAAATGTCTGACTTTCTTACCTCTTTTCTTGGACCCCCATGTATATACTATATGTCGAGCCTCTAAGCTCGACTATCTTAAAAAAAACTACTTTTTGAGTAGCCATGTACTTTTCTTTTTGTTAATAAGAAGTCAATTTTTTGCATATATTGTGCCTTCCTTTGCACCTTTTATTTTCTATTTTAGAAAATGGGCCAAGTATTCCACGAGAGTTGGAGTCACAAGGTGCACCAACGCCAAGGTGCCAAAGCGAATAAGTTTACCAAGATTTCGACTAAGTCAAAACATTGTCGAACTGCTGACGTCTTCCGAGGTCAAGCTAGGGTGCCTTAGACTTCTTGGTTAAGTTGAAACGCAGCCGAATAGCCAACATCTTCCAAGGTCGACCTAGGGGGTGTTAGAGCTTAGAGCGGTTTGGTTTCCCCTTAATCTTTTAGCCGAAGTGCCTACAATACATGTCGACTTGACAAGGTCACCGTAGTGGGCGGTCTATGTTTTCGTAATTAGCATAATTTGTGGCTTTTGCGGACACAGCTCGAAATTCCAAAGTCCTCATAGATAGTACCTCCTTAGGTTGTCAACGTTCCACGCACGGGGTACTTGCCTCCCCTCCAAGGTTTCAAGCTCGTAAGTTCCTTCATCGATCACCTTTGAAACCCTATAGGGGCCTTCCTAGTTCGGGCCCATCTTACCCGAGTTGGGCTCAAGCACCATAACTTTCCTGAGTACTAGGTCACCAACTCAGAATTGGCATCTCTTAACTCAAGCGTTATAGTATCGAGCTACTCGCTGCTGGTATGTTGCGGTCCGTATCTAGGCCAAGTCACGAACTTCCTCCACTAGGTCAAAGTTAGCCTGCAGCTAGTCCTCGTTAGCCTCTTCATCGTACGCCTCGAAACGCAAGTACCTTGTTCTACTAGTTACACAAGAAAACTTTCAAACTGGTATCTTATTCTTTTGATATATTTTCTGATATCTGCAATAAACCTTGACTTTTCTCTACTTTCTCCATAGTTGATTGCTAYAGAGGGATTATTCTTCTTTACTTTTGATCAATATTTTTCAAGCAACTTCTGGTAAGTACCTTGTTCTATTAGTTGTTGTTTCTGAGCTTCCTGATTACTTCGAACAGTCAAACTTAAAGATATGGCACCTTGCAGTCTTTACTAGGAAATTTTGCAAGACCAGTCCTTTGCATTTTCTTTTTTTTTTCTCTGTTGTTTTGTTTATTCCTCTTTTTCTTTTGATCCCTTGAATTCCTTGTGAACTAATTTGCATCACCAGATGCTGTAGAAAATGTTTTTGGCTAACAATGGCAGTAGAACTTCATTATGAGAATAAAGCAACAGAAAGGAGGAGCAACCAAAACKACATTATTCATATGGCTTTGCATTAAAAGGAGATCTAAAGAACCCCAGCTTAGATTGGCCTCGTAAACCTATACTCAAAAGCAGGATCAGATAGAGCTCATACTGAGCCCAAGGTTGGGGTTCAAATTCTCTAATAAAGAGCTTTTGAGTAAAAGATTACACATTTACACTAGCCCAGGTCATCTCAACTAGTAAACTGAGACGTGAGACTTATCTAACTAAAAGATTATAAAACTCAAATAACATCTATAAAAAATAGTCTAAACAACTAAGCCCACATTAAAAAAATGATATAGCATAGTAATCTTTGTCATAGACCAGAATGATGTCCATATTTTGGCCATTTTTTCCTGTTGAATCTCATAAGTCTAGACTCATTCACAAGGTGATCAAAGAAGATACTTTTTCTTTCCACAAAGTACCAAAATGGTGTCTTTTAGACATATTATAACAAAGAAAACCAAGGCAAAACCAAGCGCTGTTTGAATAGACTTCTACTTTTTGTACTTTTAAAAATACCAAAGTGCAAAGTATATAAAATATTTTTACTTCGGTGTTTTTTCTTTGAAAACCGTTTGGGTAAAAAATTTTGAAAAGTATGCTTTCCAAAACAGAAGTACCATTTTCTGTTTGGCAAAAGCACGTCAGTTCGTGCTTCTGGTGATGGTTTCCGGTGGTTTGGCGGCCTGAGACCGGTGCGATGGTCTGACTCCAACAGCAGAAAGAAGAGGTAGGTTTGAGAGTTTTATTGGAGGGTGGTCACACATGACCACCCGTTCGCACAAAAATGGAAGCACTATTTCGCCATAAGCACGAAGTATAAAAAGCCAACTTCGTGCTTTTGGGGGTTTTCATACTTTTAAAAATTATAGAAGCAGAAGCATAAAGTATACAATACAAACGCTATATCGTACTTTGCATACTTTTGTACTTTCAAAAGTAAGAAAGTACTTTATAAAAGTCTATCCAAACAGGTCCTTTGTGCAAATATAATCAGCTCTGTTCTAAACTATTGTTCTATTAACAGGCCCATGGGTTAAATTATAAGCTATTCAGCATCAAACTTCATTGAGCTCATGGGGTCATATTCTGATTAATTCAATATTTTTGTGGCTCAAGCTATATTTTCTTTCTCCATCTTTCCTTGTATAAAAGTAATTGAGTTGGAATTTTTCTTAGCATTACAGAGTAACTAGTATGCATTTCAGGCAGAATTAACTACATTTTCTGCAGGTACAGGCATACAGGCAAAATTAACTACAGTGTAACTGAAAGTATATACATAATGTTTATGTGGAGATATTTTGCATACTCGGTTATCCCCAGTAGCACATGAAACAAGACCAGACTCAAGAATATGTTTGAAATCACTACCAAAGGGGTCCCTTGATAATAATTGTATTTGATGATCCTTMATCACCAAAATGCCTAAAACATAAGAAATCTTGACTTACAATCAGGATTCACAGCAGTAGGTTCCACTTGGTGCCAAAGTTAAGAGTGGGATAAATGGGGAGCACTCACTCCAGAATGCTCGGAACTCTGTAAAAACAAGATCAATCTCTACAGGAATTCATACATTAATCTGTACCTGAGCAAGATACTAATGTTGCTCTCTAAACTTCAACAAAGCAGAAACTCTGAAACTCTGATTTTTCTTTGATTTTCAGGAAATTTCTCTAGGATTGCTCTGATGCACCAAAACATTTAAATCAATCTCCAAAAATCTTCTAAGTTCAGGCAGTTCAAGTACATTGATCAGTCTTTTAAAGGCCCCATGCAATTTACTGATCCTAGAACTGAACAAGTTTCACCTCAAAAAACTAAGAACTTTTTGCTCTGATCCAACTTGTTTTGATCCAACTTGTTTTGAACAAAGAATAAAAGAAGTGGAAAAACAAGCTAAAAGAAATCTATTTGGGGGAAAAATAACCGGAGAAGTACGGATACACCCGATGCAGAATTCTGAATTCCAGCCCCCCCCCCCTACTACTAGCCCTCTCCCCCCCTGAACCTGAATCTGGCCTCAAATTTCGGTCAGAATGCATGCTCCGTGTACTTTCCCCCTATAATTTTCTGATCTGGGCTGATTGGTCATTCTCCCAAAAATAACTTAGGTTGGNNCCCCCCCTACTACTAGCCCTCTCCCCCCCTGCCCATGAATTTGGCATCAATTCACAGTCAGGATGCATTCCCCCTGTACTATCGGGCTATAAAATTCTGATCTGGGCTGATTGGTCATTCTCCCAAAAATAACTTAGGTTGGTTCATAGCCTACCTCCTCCATTATATAAAAGTGCCTTTAAAATACACAAAATGACAAGTATACCCCTGTCTGATCATAGTAAGAAAAACCCAGAAAAAATAAATAAAATCAGAAAAAATACGTAAATATCRCAACAGTTTGTGATGTTGACTTCTAGGGGTTTACTGCTGTCAGTTATCATGGACAAGTAGACATAATTGCAATGGGACTTTTTCAACAGTATGCTTTCAGAAACAATGAAACTATGCCCAATAGGGGCCATAGATGCCTCAATATAGCATTTCCATGCCTACAAATATAAGGTTTAAGCAATCTTGCTGATGGTTGCCGACTAAGAGAAGATACCAGCCTGAGAAGATGGGTTACTGCAACCGAGACACTATGTTGTCAATTGGAGAACACTAACTATCTGAACTTGCATAAATTTTCAACATTCAGATGAATCATCAATAACTTGCATAAAATTTTGATAACTAGATACTTATGCAAGAATCACAATCTTGAATGAATCAATGGATCATGAATTCCTGTAGCTATCTTAAAGCTAATACCTAATGAAGAAAGCTTTCATTTGCATCACAGGTGAAGAAACATCTATAAGAAGAAAAGACAAGCAGGAAAGAAAAACAGAAGGAAAATATGACTTACCAAGAATAGAGTATGAGCATTATCCTTGAAGTAGCGAACTTTGCAATTCTGCAATGACTTTGAAAGCCTTTGAGCTTCAGCTCCAGTAGGCAACATATTGTCCTTGCCACTAAATAAAAACAGTTAAAAGAATAGTATCCAAGACATAGAAATTTAATAACAACCAAAACAGAACATCCTTAATATAATTTGGAGGAAAAGGTCCAATGGCTCATTAACAGAGATGAAATATATATACAAAAGGAAAAGATAAATGCATTTGAAACAGATTTACATCCATTACAGCTAGCACACAAGTCTTACAGGTAGACAGATGACCATCAAAAAATACATTGTAGTTGATGCAACAAAATCACAGAATTTTGGAGATATAAAGTGACAAGTAGAACCTGGCAAGCACTAGTACTTCAGCTTTGACAGCATGAACACGAGAATTAGCATAAGCAGCACCTGCCTTAAGCAGATTTAATTTCCACAAAAGAGTCTCCTTGGGTAAAATATCAGCCAAACCCTGAAGATAAATAGATAACAATGTCACCCACAAAGATGAGACACTGAAGCCCTTATTTGAGATCCACCAAATATATTCAGAAGCATGTGAAATTATAATCCACAGGCACACAAGATTTCTACATCTCTTTTGGGTTTGCAAGCTGCCAATCCACCTACAACCTCATAGAATGCATGCAACACCTTCAAAAGTCAAAAATTATGACAAAAAATATCACAATGGAACACTATGTATTATAAGTTTTCATTGCTTGAATGAAAATGTCATGCGCTAGACTCTGCTTCACTTGTTCAGTTTAGCAATGCAAAATAAGAAGTAACAGTTGAAAAATGAATAGAGAATAGAATTCAAAAGGCTAAGGAGCCTTTAGAAATGGAGGATTCTTTAGAATGAGGAGGGAAATGAGGAGTGAAGGCAATCCTGGTCCGTCTGGCATTGGAGGAGTCTTTACAAATGAGGGAAATGTCATTGCAATCTATTCAGGTCCAATTGGAATAGAGGACACCTTGAGGGTTGACATTGTGGCTACTGTGGAAGGAATTCAAAGGGCTAAGGAGCTGAATATCAAAAAGTTGGTAATTGAAGACAACAACTCAAAGCTTGTAATAAGCTGGCTCTGTAAGGAAGAGGAAGCTGGATGGTGGTGCTATATCTATGAGAAGAGGAAAGCCATGAAATTGTTAAAAGGGATAAAGATGACCTGTAATTGGGTCAAAAGCACTTTTGGGCTTTGAGTTCAAACTTATGTCTTCGAAAACTAGGAATATGAACATAACATGTGCAGTCAAACACATGAAGAGAAATAAAAAACAAGTTTTTGCCTACGAAAAGGAGACTAGTGGGGGATTTGAAACCAAGAACCCGAGATAGCATGCAATTAATCAAGTAGGTTGTAGTAAGGACAGAATTCCCCCCAATATATTATTAGAACATACAAAAAAAAACGAAATATTTCTAGAAACCTCAACAATATGATGATTTTTCCTCTTAGAAGAATGGGAGAAGAAGGAAAAACTTGATAGTAAATCTTGAGGTTGATGGAGTTGATATAACTTCACAAGAGGAGATTGCTAGTTGCTTTGTGGCTCACTTCAAATCAATCATTCAAAGACCTTTGGAGAATCGGTTGAGAGTGGAGGATGAGGATTAGTCAATCTTGAATTAGATGGACAGGGGATGGCTAGTAAGAACTATTAAGGAAGAAGAGATAAGACAGGCTGTCCTCTCCATGGATAGAAATAAGGCTCCAGGACTAGATGGATTTACAATGGCATTCTGTCAAGATTGTTGGGGTATACTCGAAGAAGATTTGATAGGGGTAGATGTGAATCAGTCCACCAAAACTGAAAATAAACTTGGTTAAAATTAGAGAGAAAAGTAGAGAACAGCAGCACAAAGGAAGAAGATGGAGAAAAGAAGAGGAAGAAGAAGAAGAGTTTGAATTATCTCTTCCCTCCCTTCTCTAATCTTTTTGTTAAACTTCATTCTTTAGGCTAATTACAAGTATGCCCTTAAGTGGGTGGCCAGCTAGGCAGTAACATAAAGAGAACTTACAAAAAGAAATAGCAGGCTCATAAAGATAGGCCCATTAACAAACAGATAAATAAAAACACACTACAAGAAAAGATACTAGGGCCCATTCGGCCCAGTCTCTCTACAGGGGTCATAAGAGAATTTGAGAAAAAACATGTAGTGAGTCCTAGAGTAAATGCTACATTCCTAGCTCATGTTCCCAAAAAGACTGGTGCTAAACATCCCATAGATTTTAGGCCGAGTAGCCTAGTGACTAGTTAAGGTATTAGCAAAAATGCTCTCGAGGAGGATCAAGGCAGTTCTACCTACTCTTATTAGTCAAGCACAAGGAGCTTTTATACAGGATAGACAAATTATAGATCAGATCCTAATAGCAAATGAAAATGTGGAGGAAATGATGAGATCGGGCAATCAAGGTTTTGTGTGCAAACTGGACTTCGAAAAAGCTTACAATTTAGTGGACTAGAGTTTTCTATTGGAGGTGTTAAGAAGGTGAGGCTTTGGGAACAAATTGTATAATTGGAAAAGTGGAAGCCTAATTTCCTATATTACTCAGTCCTAGTGAATAGAGTGGTTAAGGACTTCTTCCCAGCCAATAGAGGCCCAAGACAAGGTGACCCACTCTCTCCCTTCCTTTTCACACTTCTTGTTGATGTGTTTAGTAGATTGATCTCAAAAGCAAATGGGCAAGAGCTAATAAAGGGTTCGAGACTAGGTAGAAGAAGCGTTCCCGTGACCCACCTTCAGTTTGATGATAATATTATAATTTTTTGTGAGGGGAGTGACTTAAGGAAGGTGGACAATCTTATGTATCTAATAAGGGCTTTTGAGAATGCATCCAATTTGAGGATAAACCTTGATAAAAGTTGTGTAGCTGGAATAAACTTGGAGGATGGGGAGGTAGAGTCCATTGCAGTGTGTTTAGGTTGTGCCACCTCTTCTTGGCCTTTTACATACTTAGGGCTTCCCTTAGGTGCAAACCCTAAAGAGAGTAGTTTTTGGTCCCCTATTGTGGAGAAATTTGGGAATGTTTGGCGGCRTGGAAAAGGAATTACATCTCTATAGGGGGTAGGGTAACCTTGATTAGGGCAACACTTGCTAACCTTCCAACCTTTCCTCTCAGTTTTTAGGATTCCCCCAAGGGAGGCTAAGAAATTGGAAAAACTAATGAGGGATTTCTTGTGGGAACCAAGAGAGGCGAATAAGGATCATCTAATCAGATGGGAGATAGTCAATAGAAGAAAAGAAGGGGGCTTAGGGATAGGGAACATAGTTCATAAGAACGAAGCTCTTTTAGGGAAGTGGCTATGGAGATGGCCTCTAGAGAGAGAGAGAGAGAGAGAGAGAGAGAGTATGGCATGAGGTGGTGTCAAGCATACATGGCTGCTCAGAGAATGGTTGGGATGCCGAGATATCTCATCGTGCGACTCTCAAAACACCTTGGAAGGCTACACATGGTATTCTCCCTCACTTCCTCAAGTTCATCAGGTACGAAGCTTGCTCTGGCATTTCTATTCATTTCTGGGAGGATGTTTGGGTGGGTAACCAACCTCTCAAGAATCTTTTCCCATCTCTCTCTCCCTTTACAGTCCAATACTTCCTTTGCCTTTAAGGTGGGACTTTGGCTTTCGTAGGGGATTAAGGGATGATGAACTGGTTTGTGTTTCTGAGTTTCTTCTTTTACTCGAATCGGTTTGTTTGGACTCCACTAAATCTGATCAAAGAGTTTGGACCAAATCCCTCATGGCCAATCCTAACCCTCGGGTGTTCCCTATTAAAGAAATTTGGATAAAACCTACTCTCCCCAAAATTGTTGTTTTTTGTTGGGAAGTTTTCTACGGGAAAATCAATACTTTGGAAAACTTGTAAAATTAGAGACTTTATCTATGCCTTTCCCCTAATTGGTGCTTCCTGTGCAAGGCCTAGAATGAGAACTATTTCCATCTACTGATTTCTTCCTCCTTTGCTACAGCCTTATGGAGTTGGAGCTTTAATTTATTTGGGTGTAGGTGGAACCCACCGTCTGATGTAAATATGTTGTTTAATCCGTCTACCTTTGGGTGGCACACAAGAAGAGGTAAAATCATATGGAAGTGTATCAGGGAAGCTATATTGTGGACTGTTTGGGAGGAAAGGAATGCTAGAACCTTCCTAGAGAAGTAAAGAAGCTTGGATGAAGTGAAGGACTGTATCTTAACTAGAGTAATCCATTGGTTAAAGAACTTGTCCCTGTTTGCTGAATTCTCTTTCGATGATCTTTGGAGAAACTGGCTAGAAGTGGCTAGCACTTCCACTAGAAAGAATAGAAGTGTGGTAGAGTGGGAACCTCCCCCAGAAGGTGTCTGTTAGAGGCACAAGGGGGCAGGAACTACAAGTATATTCTAGAAGGAGGAGAAGGCCACCTCAGCATAAGGAAGCCAGTGCAAAGACAGCTGGAGTTAACTGACTCAAGTTGGAGTTAACTGAATCAAACAAGTTGGCAAGTTGTTATAATTTTGTTGTAAATCAGTTACATTGAAGGCAAGATTGAATATAAATACAGAGGTGTACTTACAATAAGGGAATAATAAGAACATTTGATCTCTTTCTCTCTTCACTCTCACTTTCCCCTATTCTAGAGATTATCCTCCCACGAAGAGGAACTGAATTGGGCAGCTACCCAACAGTGTCATTAAATTGAACTTTGATGGGAGCAGCCCAGGTAATCTTGGGTCTTCAGGTGTAGGGGGTGTGCCAAGGAATAAGGACAGCAACATTATCTCATTATTCTCAAGACCAGTGGGAGTGGGAGTGAGAGACTCTACAAGAGCTGAGTTACTAGCTGTTGTTCAAGGGATTCAGGTTGCTAACCAGCTTGGGGTGGAACATCTTCTAATTGAAGGAGATTCTCAGGTGGTAGTAGGGTGGCTGTTAAATCCAAACACTGCCATATGGGGATATAGAGATCTCAAAAGAGTGAAGTGGTTGTCTAGAACTATGAGAGTGGATGTTAAATGGGTAAGCAGGTTGGCAAACACTGGCTGATTCTTTGGCCAAGGGGTATCCAAGGAAGGTCTTTTTTTGGGCATTTTGTAACTTATTCTAGTAAGTAGGGAAAGCTGTATCTGAATATTCTAGAGAGGTTGCATCTCGTGCCTCTCCTTGGGATTCTTGTACTTCTTATCTTTGATATCTAATAAAATTTATTCAATTATCAAAAAAAAGAAAAAAACATCTATGTTCAGCTTGAGGGGGAGTGTTAAGTAGTTGGGTCAGTCATGTTTTCTCTCTTTTCTTTTAATTTCATGTTAATGGGCCTACAGTCTTTCTTTATGTCCTATTTATGCAGCCACCCTATTAAGGGTAATCCTGTCATGTTGTACATCATTACAATTAGAATTAAAAGTAATACAATTTGGGGCAGGATAGTGGTTCGATCATTCTCTTCTCCTAACCCCTTCTTTTCCCATCTCTTCTCCTCTCTTCCT